AGCTGGGGGGTCTCCTCCAAGCAAGAGTACCCATGCACCACGTGAGAGAGCCAGTAGGTACCTCTTCTCAGCTCCTCCCTCCATGACAGTCTCAGCCAGTTGTTAAGTATTTACCAACACCACTGCCTTTGGGTGACACCTGGACCTCCTTGTGCTGTTTTCCCTCCAACCTTCTACTTTCCATCCCTGCCCCCTTGTATTCACAAATGTGGTCAACTTTACTGTTTCCATACGTCAGAGATGAAGGACTTGCACCTAGCTGCACGTAACCTAACTACTAATTTTTGTTTCAGGAAAAATCCTCTGTTATCTAATTTTATCTACTCTTACCAGGATTCAGTGCAGTGTGGTAGCTAATATCGTGGCTTCTCCAGCTAGATAACCAGGATTCAAAGACCAGCTCTTCCACTTGCAACTTACATGATCTTAAGCGAGTCACTCAACGTCTCCCATATCTTGTTTCCTGGTTCAGGGTGATGAAGGCTATCACGAGTGTGTCATCCATTTGTAAAGTTTGGTGAGTCCATAGGGATGAAGCAGTAGGACTTGTTAGGCACACAGCAGGTATTTAGGTCTCGTACTCAGCACACACCCCTTATTTACAACTGCGTATCTGGCAAGTGTCTGCTAAGCTTTTCGCGATGCCCAGCACTTCTTGGATGTAATAAGACGTTACAGGCCATGCATTGGGGATGATGAGAACATCATGTATGCTGTGGTCCTTTGTTTTTGTCATTGTGAAAACTGTATCCATGTGTGTGAAGAAAAGTTAATGTAAATGTAAAATATAATGGATCCTTTCTACCTCGACTTCCACATGGGGTGATTTGGAGCTGATGTTTCCCCCGGGCAGTTTGGATGCATTTGGTGTTTCTGAAACAAGGAGCTCAGTCAGGAACCTTCTGTTCATCATACCAACCTTCTAAGGTAAGGGAGATCATGACTTCCATCTTCCAGGGGCAGAAAACTGAGGCTCAGAAACATGGAGGAATTTCCCCAGAGGCCCCACCACAAACCAGCTGCCTCCAGGACTCCCTGTCGGTGTCCCACCTCAAGCTCCAGAAGGGCTTGAAGCTCCACGGGGAGGAGCTTTGGCCTGGGGCAAGTCCAGAGCCCATCCCACCTTTACCTGCACCTCAGCCCCACCTGAGAAACCTAGAGAGGAATGAAACTTGTTAATCTGCCGTCCGGACAGTTGAGTAGCCAAGCCCCCTGCACCTCCATCTATCTGCAGTAATCTCTGCTCCACCTGGGACTGAAGCACTCATGCAGGATTCCAAGAGGTGAAATTTGAAGACGGTCTTGAGTCAGAGAGGAGAGCAGGTGGGAATACTTCTGTTTTTTTTTTTTAAAAAAGACTTGATCTGTTTGTGAGAGGTGCTGATTAGAGATAATGACCTTGGGCTGCTCTTTAGTGGGGTAGGTGTGTTTTATTCCCAGCACACATCAAATACCTGGCAGCTTTGTGTGATCCATATTCTGATTACCTTTATATTTTAATTCAAAGCTGTTTCTCCTGGCAGGGCTTAGGGCTTTGCTGTTCCTGCCAAAAACTGTGGGGACTGTGCCAGTTGGTTGGGGGTTTGGGGTGGTGTGTGTGTGTGTGTGTGTGTGTATTTTTTTTTCCAACACAGAATATGTTCCTTCCCGTCCACAGAGGTGCCTTTCAAAATGTCTTTGCTCTACTGAGCCTTTGAATCAAACCCAGGGTCCCCTGGGCTGTTTCTGGCTTATGGGCAACTCTAACAAGAAGGCAGACAGGGACCGTGGGGAGGGGTTAAGGAGGGTGCCAGGGGACAGTCACAGCCATGGAAGGGAGAGGACACTCTGGGGAGAGAAACGGGCTGTGTTCCTTCGCTGTCAGCCTAGATTCTGGGAGGCCCGGGCCACCCACAGTGGCCTCTGCCCAGGGCTCACCCAGTGTCCTTCCACCTGGTGTGGGTGATTGGGGGAACTAAATGTAGCCCTTACTCCTCATCAAGTTGGCAGCCAGACACTTTAGGTTGAAAGAAGATAAGTATACTCCAGGGGCTGGGGACATAGCTCAGTTGGTAGAGTGTTTGCCTCTCATACACAAGGCCCTGGGTTCAATCCCCAACACACACACACACAAAAAAGGTAAGTACACTCCAAGAAGCTCCCTCCACCTTGGCTCTGACTTTCTGCAGTTTACAAACCCACCCTTCAGCCATGTTTAAAAACAACAATAAACATCATCTGCCTGCTAGGGTGTTAAAGCTTATTTGAAAAGGATTTTAAAAATTAAAATTATAAAAAGAAAAAATCCAGAAAGACACTCAAATCCAAAAACTGAAGGAAAGTTTTATTTAACAACTATTTCTTTCTTCTAGTTACAAGCCTCAAACAGAACTGTGTAAAACTCCACCCTTAGCATGTGGGGCTGTCAGCAATCGTAGGAGTGGCCTGTGGCCACATGATGAGGATAGCCCCCCAAAGAAAAGACATTGGCCATTTTGCCTGGTTCTTGAGGCTCAGAGCTGGGGAGCGTTACTGGGATCTTAACTCACGAGGTGGGAAGACCACCTAAAGGAACGTCCTTTCAACTGAAGAAAAGCTGGAGCTGCTTCTGACAGACACAGGTGATGGGGCTTGCCCCATTTCTGGTCACTAGACTTAGCCCTGGTACTGCCTGAACTGTTGGAAGACAGGAAGAATAAGTCCCAAAGTAATGCCTCCTGCTCAAAAAGAAGACAGACACTCGGGTTTGTGATCAGGAATCCCTGGGCAACTGAGTCAGTTTGTTAATGGCCAATTTGGGGGTGAACACTGGTCCCTGCTAACTTGGGCCTTGTCAAAAACATTAGAAAACGACCCTTCTGCTGGGCCAGCAGCTCACACCTGTAATCCCAGCCTCTGGGGAGGCTGAGACAGGAGGATCACAGGTTCAAAGCCAGCCTTAGCAAAAGTGAGGCACTAAGCAACTCAGTGAGACCCTGCCTCTAAATAAAATACAAAAGAGGGCTGGGGAGGTGGCTCAGTGGCCGAGTGCCCCTGAGTTCAATCTCTGGTACAAAATTTTTTAAAAAAAAAGAAAACACCCCCACCTCCCTGCCACTGCAGATGCAAACTGCATGAGCCGTTCTCTGCAGATCGACTAGCTAAGGTCTTCTATAGATCATCAGGACATCCCTTACACTTTAAGTTTCCCTCTCCCCTTTAATATCACCCTAGAAACTCCAGGAAATGGTAGGCTACAGAGCCCACTGGTGGTATAAACTGAGCTAATGTAGGGGAGGCCAGGAGCACATGGACGCTGGCTTTGTTGAATCCACAATTCACTGGGAATAACTGCCATTTATGCAGCAATTTCTCTCTGCCAGGCACATAGCATATTTTTTTTTCTAATCCTCAGAACCCTAGTGGCTTTAGTAACATCTATTTTATAAATGAAGAAGCTGAAGTCCAGACTTAGTAAATTTTCTGCTTTAAGATTCCACACAGTTAGTTAATGGTATAGGCAGGAGCCAAACCCAATTCTGCTGGGGTCTCTCTAATGTTTATATCATACATTAAAATGAGAATACTTTGATCATTTCAGCCTCTTGATAGTTCTCAATCTAGGGCAGTGGTATAAAGTCTAAAGATCCCTGCATAGGGAGAGAGGGAAGGATAGCAAGGAACCAGGAAATGTAGTCCTGGTACTAACATCCACACTGGATGCAGTACACAGCAGAATTAACACTGCAGAAAAATCAGTCTCTCACGTAGAAAGGACAGATAATCAGCTCCCCTAAAACGCACCAGAAAGAAGAGACAGATAAAAACAATGAGGAGTAGTCACAAAAACAGAAGGCAAAGAAGAGAAATCTAAGTAAGACTTATAGCTACTCCTAAGGAAGAGAACAACACAATTCAAACAGAAGTGTTGTTTAAAGATACAATTGTAAAAAAAGATACAATTGTGGAAAACTTGTGTTCTAAGAAAGACATGTGCATTGCAGCCTGCAATGAAAGCATTTACTGTGTACTTGACAAAAATGAAAGCAAAGAGACCCCTGGCTATATATACCAACATAACCCAAAATAATTTTTGTGTCTTCCCTGCACCAAATGGCAGAAGCCCCAATATAGCTATGTGTGAAGGCCAAATGTTCCAACTCAAGTTCATTAGGAAAGAGTCCTTTATGGAAGGTGGCAACTGTAAAAATTTACGTCTTGAATTTTTTCTCTTTTAACCTAGAAGGAGTAGTATCCTCAAGTAGTATCCAAATAGCTCACGTGTTCTGTTCTTGTCTGTGCACCATCAATAGATGACAACTTAGATGTGACTGTGCTTCATTCTTTCTAGTGCACTCTCGGAGCCAAAGCAGGCAGAGCAAGTGCTGTCCCTTGTCCCCAGAATACAGAAACAAACTCACAGAAATTTGCTCACTTTCCTATAGTCCAGATGTATTTTATACATGCTAAGTCTCTCATCCTACATTTTAAATTTTCCTATTCAATTTACACTCATAATTCCTATTTTTCTGTCTCTTACATTCAGTCTCCAACATGCATGGTAAGGAGATGTGTTTTGACTGTCTTCTCAGCCATCAGTAAGGACTTTTTGGCCAGCATTCCAAAGCTAAGATGGAACTTCATTAAACAAGACCCTGAGATCTTTTGAGATTATACAAAGAGAGAATGTAGACGTCACAAAATAGTTCATAGGAGCTACTGTTTTTTGAAGTACACCTTAATTCCTAAAAGGTTTCAGTTTCTTCTTTGTTCACTTCATCTGACAGACATGGACATCATATCCTTCATGGTACGTCATCTCCTGTTCCTTTTAGAGTGCAGATAAGGCAAAGATAATTTTCCCTTGACATTAAACTCCAGCATTTGTGCAGAAGAGAGATTTCAACAAGGACTCTGGGGACATGTTCCATTGATCGGTATTGGCTCTGCTGCGGGGTTGGCTTCACACACAAATGTCTGTTTCAGTGTGTCTGTTCAGGAAAGCCCAGTCAGAGGCTGTAGGATAACCTAGATGGACAGTGTCACTCAAAGAGCTCCAGGTAGTCAGGTGGCTGTTCCTGCTGCCCACAAGGGTAGAGCAGCAGTTCTTTCCCCAGGGAAGTTATGGGCTCCTCCTGTCAATCAAAAGGCACAGAGTTAAGCTGGGCTATGAGGTACATGCCCTTCCTACCTCCTCAGGGGACACCACCCCTCTGCCCTTGATTTGTACAAAGCTTCATTAGTTTATGATGATCTTAAAAGAGATTTTTCTCATCTACACACTCTTTCCCTTTAGGGTTTGAATTCTGACTTAAGACTCTTGAGATATGATCGATATGTGCAAAATTTGTTAGCATCTCTTGTATTCTCTGCCCAGGGGGGTCTCCCCGAGTATCCGAGGAGGAACTTGGTTCCACGATAAAGGAAATGCAATTAAGAATGAGAATTATCAAAGACTAATCCCCACGTTTCTTGTCTCAATCATTTTTTCCCCTGGTAATTGCCTTGCTTGGTTAGAGCTGCTGCGGGAAGATAATTCACAAGGCGAATTAAGTTTCTGAATCGCTTCACCTTGTGATATTCCACCAAATCTGCCAGGGTGGCATGCTGCAGCTGGTCCACACCCAGGAAGCTGTAGGTGTCGGCAGAGGCATCTATCAGGAAGTGTTTGCAGCCCTCCTCCGACAGGTAGGACAAGGCATAGCCCTTCATCTTCTCGCTCACTCGGATCAGAAAAGTGCCGGGCAGGCCCGTGCTCAGGAGTTCGTTGGCTTTCTTTAGTGTGAGAATTCCTGTGGGAGGGAAGAGAAGCAGGTATTTCAGCCAAAGCATTTCCCAAGCTTTCCCCTATTCAATGCAGCCGTGTGGATAAAGTTTAGTTGGATAAAAATCAGAGCCATTTTATGTGTGTTTGGGGCATCTTAGGAATACGGTATTTGGTAACTGGACAGGGATACATCATAAGGTAAAGGGACAGTATAAATGAGAGCATTCTTTAGGAAAAGCACATTTAGGGACTTACTTATAGCAGCCTGTGAGGGTATGGCAGGATACCTTGATGGTTGTACTAGCAGTGTCAGATCTGGAGGGGACTTAAAGATCTCTCCTCAGGCCACCACAGCCTGTTGATGAGGACTCAGAGGCCTGGGGAGTGATCAGACCTGAATAGACCTAAAACAGTGGTTCTCAACCACGGTGACATCTGGCAATGTCTGAGAGGACATTTTTGGTTGTGACAGGTGGGGGTTCTAGAAGGCATCCAGTGGGTAGAGGCAGGGGTGCTTATAATGCACAGGATGGCCTCACACTAGAAAGAATTGTCCAGCCCAAAGTGTTAATAGTGCTGCGGTTGAGACCGCCTGGTCAAGGAGAGTCAGCAAGTTAGAGACACAACCAGAAGGCCCAGATCTGTAAGTGCTTCAAACTGTCACCACTCCCTGGCCCCACTCGCAGAGGAGGCGGAGCAGACCAACCCCAGCCTGATGCGCGGAGAAGGAGACCAACCACCCTACAGTGCCTCATCTACCAACGTGTGGCTGTCCTGCCAGCTTCTGTCCAGGCAGAATAGCCAGGACCAGGAAGACCATCACCAAGGTCCCTCCAGACCTGGTTACACCAGAGGTGAGACATTGATAACCTTCAGGGAACTACAAGATTATAGAGTAGAAACTGTAATACCTCAGACCCACACAGCTAAAGAGGAAGACACATGAGCAACATGAAAAAACAAGGGAAGGAAATGCCCCAAACAAACCAAGATGATACAATAAGAGAATCCATGGACAGCACAGTAGATGAAATGTCAGAGGAGTTCAGAACGTACAAAGTTAAAATGATCTGTGAAGCATAGAATAATATAAGAGAGCAATTACAGGCAATAATTGATCACTCCAACAAAGAGATAAGAGAGCAAATACAGGTAGCAAATATTACTTCAAGAAAGAGATAGGGCTGGGCACAGTGGTGCATGCCTGTAATCTCAGTGGCTCAGGAGGCTGAGGCATGAGGTTCAAGAGTTCAAAGCCAGCCTCAGCAATGTGAGGTGCTAAGGAGCTCAGGGAGACCCTGTCTCTAAATAAAATATAAAAAAGGGCTGGGGATGTGACTCAGTGGTTGAATGCCCTGAGTTAAATCCCTAGTACCTTTAAACAAACAAACAAACAACAACAGCAACAACAAAAAACAGAAATCCTTGAAATGAAGGGAACAATAAATCAAAATAAATAGAAAAATTCAATAAAAAACATCACCAACAGATTAGATCACTTGGAAGACAGAACCTACGGCAATGTAGACAAATATGTAATCTTGAAAATAAAGATGACCACACAATGAAGATGGTAAGAAACCATGAACAAAACATCCAAGAATTATGGGATAACATGAAAAGACCAAATCTAGGAATTATCAGGATAGAGGAAGGCACAGAGATATAAACCAAAGGAATGCACCACAGTCTCTTCAGTTGAAATGATATCTGAAAATTCTCTAAACATGAGAAATGAATTGGAAAAATCAAATACAATAGGTTTACAGGACATCAAATACACAAAAGTACAACAGATCCACTCCAAGTCACATTACAATGACAATGCCTAGCATACAGAATAAGGATAGAATTTTAAAAGCCTCAAGAGAAAAGTTTCAGATTACATATAAGGGCAAACCAATTCAGGTCTCAGCAGATTTCTCAACCCAGACCCTCAAAGCTAGTAGATCCTGGAACAACATATATCAAGCTCCAAAGAAAATGGGTGCCAACCAAGAATCTGAAGCAAAATTAAGCTTCAGATTTGATGACAAAATAAAATTCCTCCATGATAAACAAAAGTTAAAAGAATTTACAGCTGGGCTGGGGATGTGGCTCAAGTGGTAGCGCGCTCGCCTGACATGCGTGCAGCCCGGGTTCCATCCTCAGCACCACATACAAACAAAGATGTTGTGTCCGCCGAAAACTAAAAAAATAAAGTAAAATATTTTTAAAAAAGAATTTACAGCAAGAAAGCCTGCACTGCAGAACATTCTCGGCAAAATATTCTATGAGGAGAAAACGAAAAACAACAATGAAAAATCAGCAAAGGGAGGAACTACACTAAAGGAAAAGCCAATCAAAGAAGAAACCAAGTCAAGTTAAAAACCAAAAATAAACCAAAATGACCAGGAATACAAACCATGTTTCAATAATAACCCTGAATGTTAATGGCCTAAATGCATCAATTAAAAGACACAGACTGGCAGGTTGGATTAAAAAAATAAAAATAAAAAAAAAAAAAACCAACAATCTGCTGCCTTCAAGAGACTCAGGAAAAGACATCCACAGATGAAGGTGAAAGGATGGGAGAAAACATACCACTCACATGGATCCAGTAAACAAGCAGAGGTTTCCATCCTCATATCAGATAAAGTGGACTTCAAACCGAAAATAGTCTGAAGGGATAAAGAAGGTCATTTCATACTGCTTAAGGTAATCATACATCAACAAGATATAACAATCATAAATATCTATGCCCTGAGCAATGGAGCATCCATGTATATCAAACTCACTCCTCTAAATTTCAAGAATCAAATAGACCACAACACAATAATACCAGGTGACTTTAACACACTTCTTTCGCTACTGGCCAGATCTTCCGAATAAAAACTAAACAAAGAAACCAAAGAACTCAATAATACAATCAATAATTTAGACTTAACAGACATATACAGAATATTTCATCCATCAACAGGTGAATACACTTTTTTTCTCTCAGCAGCACATGAACCTTCTGTAAAATAGACCATATGTTATGCCACAAAGCAAGTCTTAGCAAATACAAAAAATAAAAAGGAGATACTACCCTGTATTCTATCAGAAATAATGGAATGAAATTAGAAATCAATGATAAAATAAAAAATAGAATCTACTCCAACTCCTGGAAACTAAATAAAATGCTATTGAATGACGCATGGATAACAAAAGACATCAGGGAGGAGATTAAAATATTTCTTAGAGGTAAATGAGAACTCTGATACAACATATCAAAATCTCTGGGACACTATGAAGGCAGTGTTAAGAGGAAAGTTCATTGCACTGAGCTCATTCATTAAAAAAATAAAAAGTCAACAAATAAACGACCAACCTAACATTACGTCTCAAAAAGATTGTTGCAATTGGGGAACACCTTGACCATAAGATCTGCACATGTCCGGCTTCTAGAAATTCTTCCTAATAGAAAGTAGTTAACAAGTCTAGAAAGAATGAAATATGGTGGGCTGGGGTTGTGAATCAGTGGTAGAGCATTTGCCTTGCATGTGTGGGGCTCTGGGTTTGATCCTCAGCATCACATCACATAAATAAATAAAATAAAGGTATTATGTCCATCTACAACTAAAAATTAAAAAGAAAAAAAAAGAATCAAGTATGGCACTGTGACCAAGCCTTTCAGCAGAAAGTCCCTTTCCTTGAGGTTAGCTGGGAGAGTGTTTTGTGTTCCAATGTTTGTTTAACCTGTGGGCAAGTCAAAGTTCAGCGCCCTTCAGGGAATGGAGAAACTTAACTGAAATTTGGTCAAGTTAACAAGATATGGAATCAACCTAAATGTCAATCAATGGGTGAATGGACAGAAAAACTGAAATATAATGGAATATTATTCAAAACAGTATTCATGATAAGAATGGTATCTATCATTTACAGCAAAATGAATGGAACTGGAGGAATATGTTAAATGTTAAATAAAATAAGTCCAGCATCCAAACACAAATACCACACATTCTTTCTCATGTGTGGATGCTAAAAAATGTTGACTTAAGTGAAGAATCATTTACCAGAGGGTATAGGGAAGGGGGATGGGGGAGGTGGGATAACAGGTACAAAAACACAGATAGAAGAAACAAGTTCTAGTGTTCTAAAGCTACAGCGGAGTGACTATAATTCACAACCACTTATGATATATTTTTTAAGTAATTAGAAGAGAATATTTCAAAGATTCCAAACACAAAGTAAGGATAAGGAGACAGAAAAATTAATTATCTCATTTGATCAGTACATATTGTATACGTGTCATGCTGTTCCTCATAAATATTTACACATTAAGCAAAACTTTTAGCCTGATTGGATCATCATGCCTTGCATGTGTACATTGAATTATTACAACATGCCATATAAATATATACAATTAAAATAATAATAAATAATGAAAATGGGGAAAAACTGTCACCACTCCTAAATGTACATATCCATTGACATTTAACGGAAGAGGGCTTGCTAATATATATATATATATATATATATATATATATATATATATACCCAAAGGAATAACCTATTCTATATATGTTTATATGTGTATATATGTATATATCTGTGTTCATGTGTGTGTATGGATATATGTGTGTATGCACATATATGAGGTTTTATAGAGAAAAACAGTTTAAATGCCTAATGGATTCCTCTCTTTTCCCATCTTTTCCCCAGCTAGTCCAAACTCATGAGGTTTGATTCGTATCCCAAAGTTCTCATTCCTACTGTAATTCTTCGGTGAGCAGATAATGTCGTATCTGTTCAGAACACACAGGAGCAGCGCCAACGCATCCGCTTGCTGAGCCCCTCGGCTTTGACTCTGGAGGGAGGAGCAGTTTCCCCGGTGTCCTTTTCCAATTCAGAGACAGAAGCTTTTGACTTCTCCTGCTCCACAGTCAGCTCCCTGTGGATTCTCAGTCCCTTATTATTAGGAAACCAAATAAAACCTCTCCTCCTCGTGGAAAAGCAATGGGTGATCTGATTAGTAGTGGACTTAATTAAGAAGTGAACCCT